CCCCCCCCCCCCCCCCCCCCAACTCAATTTTGCTTTAACTATGTACACCTATGCCAATCCATAATTTAACTAGAAAGTGTTGTTTTGGTTGGAAAGTTGTCTAGACTTGTTAACATGGTTTTCGCATAAGGTTCATCAATTTGGTAGCCCACATTAATCGCTTGAATATTTTGAATCTTAACTTTCTTGAATATACTTCTAATGCTCATATATTCATATATACGTGTAACATGAATTAAATATAGGAATCTTGTGAGTGCTCGATATATTATGATGCCAAGATCCAAAACTATTTAGTTAAGGAAGCTATATTAATCGAAACGAAACCATACAAACAAACACGTGGATTGATAGTAGTTTGTCCACACCCCAAATTGAAAGAATAGCTTCCCTTTCAATTATTTTTCTTCCTTCTCAGTAGTCTCAGTTTTTCCTCTTCTTCACACAGCCACAGTTTTTCTCTTCTTTCAATTGCAGCTGCCGTTTTTTACTTTTCTAATGGCAGCCTTTTTGTTTTTCTCTCACACGATTGAAAGCCTTTTGTTTTTGTCTCTCTCTATCTTACAGCCACGGTTTCGGAAGTATATATATATAAGTGTGCGCCTCTTTTGTTGACCTAGAAAAAAACAAGAGAGTTGGGCTTTTTATTCATCATGGGCTGGAACCCATTTAACATGAATAATGATTTTTAGGAGATTATATAGTTAAAAACTACAAAAAAAAAAAAATTTGAATTTACGTGTAGAATATTTTATTATTTGAATCTGTGGTTAAAAATAGGTACGTAGAAAAAAAGAGTTCTCGAATAATGATTATCAAACAAGAGCTTATAAGAAGTGAAAACAACCTCGATTCGTGTAAAATCAGTCGTTAGGTCTTAAAGGTATATCCTCAAATGCCTTATTCCTCCTATTTCAGGTGTAGTGTGCCTCTCAATCTCCAATTTAATAAAAGCATGAACGAAAATTCTGGAAGGCATCACTTGGCTGGAAAATCTTATGCTGTCAAAAGATCCAATACGCACAGGTACAGGCCTGGCCGGGACTATGTCTCGGGTGTGGTTGTGCAACACGTTTTATACCGTTACACATACATTCTCATGTATCAGAATAATATAGAAAAACCCTATGTGAATGATGATTCTATATCAGATGCACTAATTTCTGTTTAATCTGTCGTTATTTTTTTTATGGCACCAGTTTTATTCTTCAAATCTAAATCAAATTTTGTTCTTTGTAGCAATTGTCCACCCTAAGAATGACTGTGTAGATGAGAACAATAATAATAATAAAAAAATAACGAAGGAATCTGCTAAATGAAAAAACAATCAGGGGACTGCAAACAGTTATGTAAATCTGATGAGCTATTCAAGACTCCATGATTCAAACTTTAAGAGAATTCACAATCTGCAAGCAACAATGGTTGCTCAGGGAGAGCAATCGAGAGGAAAACAACGGAAAACCTTGCACAAAATTAACTTCCTTCATGTACGATGAATTTTGGAGGGAAAACACGATGTCTTGTTTGGTATACAGTAGTGGAAAGTACTAAACACTACAGTCAATATGTAAATGACCTCGGTATCTGATATGAGAAAGGGAGAAAAGTTCAGATGGAACTTATGAGGATGCATTCTAGAGTACGACACTTGGAAAAAAAAAAAAAAAAACACCATATTCCTTCGCATTCTATAGCAAGTTAAAAATGTGGTAATATTATTCATTTGAATTGAGCACACACTTTACATACGGATGAGCGTGAAAAGAATTAACTTGAGGCACATCTATAACGTGATCAATGGTAAGAGCTCAGTCCCCTATCCTGAATTAAACATAACACTTTAATCTCTCTAAATCGATGTCTTCATTCGCTCTTCACTCTCTAAGACATATACATGCTCACATATAAAACACATTGTCATTATTAAAAAAAATGTACATTGTACATTTGCCGTAGCCATTATCATTTCCCCTTCTTGAGTTAATTCCTGAAGAAAGATTCATCTGTCTCTTCTTTTTCCTCATTAGACAATCTAGCAAAGGCAGAATTCATGATTGCTCACAGTATCTATTGCAAGTAATAAGGTCTATGTATTAAATGAGCATCTCTTACCCTACTATGGAGTACTATCCTCAGTAATCACAGGTTAATCCTTTAAACAACCGTTCTACACTTACAAGCAAATTCATACAGATATTTTATAGAATACACATAACAGTGGGACCCATCTCCATAAAATATTCACATGGAGTCCACCCCCATATGACTGCCCTGAGAACATCTGTGAATTTATTCCCTGTACACAGGGCATTTTCCTCGTTCAAAATATCATCCTCCGCCCCCCCCCCCCCCCCCCCCCCCTTCTCCCCCAAAAAAATTTAGGTATTTTTGTTTAAAAAATATTTTAAATATATATTTAATATATGTTTTTATTTTGTCTCCAATCCCAATAATTATGGTAAAGAATATGTGATTATTAATTTTTGATATTTTAATTACACAAAATTGGATTCTTATTGTTTCAATATTATATGGAGAGAAAAACATGTATTATTTTCCTTCATCATAGACATCATGCATAAATTACAAGAATCACGATTATTGAATTTCATTTTTACGTCGTTTGGATTCCATTTAATGAGGTTTTACGAAAAATTGCATCCTGAAATAGTGATTTTTCGGAAAACGTGCAATTAAAAAAGAGGAGAAATTTTGGGTTTACGAATAATATTATTTAAGTGAAAAATGTGACTAAAAACGGGAAGAGAAAAATACATTAAAATTAAAATGAAGCACAAACAGGGGCTTAATAAGATTTACATTTTAAGATGGAATCCCAAATCTTATATGGTATCAGAGTTTATTAAACTCAAACGAATAATTTGATCCGATTATGACTTAAAAGTAAGCACAAATTTCAAGATTAGTATGTACAAACTAACCACAATCTTACAATTGCATTTTAAGAAATAAATCTCACATCGGCTAATTATTAAAATATAGGTCAACATATAAGTGCTTGAACTATACTCAACTCCAATCGACTATCGAACCACTTATCTAAAGCTTAACAAGTAGTTCAACATTGACTATAAACCAATATTTCATCCCAAGATCAAACTTTGAGCATTCTTTAATTTGTAATTTTCCACATAATCCACTACTGCTATTATAATGCAAAAAAAATCTTGACAATCAAAGCATTGGATCCCCTAAATAGGGAGAACCATATGACAGAAAATAGGTCCTAGAAAAGAAAAATCATAGGAAAACTGAAAGAAATATATGTATCCTTCCACAATGAGATGTCATTGTCTCCAAAAAAATCTGTACTTCCTAAAGTACACAAATTTCAAACCTAGCAGAAGTATCTAAACTCTTCTGTTTCTTACACATGGTACCATATCTAGCAACCCATAAAAACCACCTTTATTATGTGTGAGCGTACCTACACATGTCTAGTTGTGGAGTATACGCGAATCACATGCATATTATACGGAAAAGATAAAACCCAAGCATTTAGAATTCGCTTCTTCCAATATAGTTATCCAAGTGTGTGTGGGGATGGGGGATTAAATTCAGATTGAGGGCCGAGGTCGTGCCACCTCAGTCCTGGATCTAATCTTAGGACAAACAGCAAAATCCTAATACATAAACATCTAGGGCAGAGAGAGAAAGAGTGCATGTGTGTGAGAGAGTTGGTTTGATGGTTTCTTGAAATGGGATCATGGGTTAATGGTACAATCGTGCTATATGTAATTCAAAGCAATTGATTTTTACATCCTTTCAAATCATTGATCAAATTTTTGACATATATAAAAGGATGTTAACAAAAATGTACATATAGCTTAATTGTTAATGGTATATGTATACACATATATTTATATTAGTATTGGTTCATCTTTTGCTAAACACAGATAAGATGTCATATTAATTTATTGGTGGATAAAAATTTGGTGAAACTTCATCCACCAATGAATTAATATGACATATTAATGGTACTAAGTATAAGATGAACATTGATGCTTATTAGGCACTTGTTTGATCCTCGTGATTTTTAAAATACATTTTTCTTTTATTTTTAATCACATGTTCTTCGTCAAAATATTATTCCAAAATGCAGCATTTTAAGCAAAAATGGTGCTCAAATACGATCATTCCTGTATATGCATATAAATTTATATTATAAATATACATAGAGAGAGAGGGGTGGGTGGTGAGCGGGTGAGAGAGTGAGGTGGAGATTTCTTAAGCTGCACACTTTTGGGACAAGAATGTCAAAATGACATTTGCCAGTGCATGGAAGATTTGCAGTGCTGGACCGCCAACAGGTCATTTCCTTATGGATGGGGAATGACGTACGTAGCAGAACCAGCCATAGAATATATAAATCTATACCTAACTATTTCTTCCTAGTTTTATGCGACAAACAAGCTGATAACAAGGGAAAAGGCATTATCAAGTTCAAAATCAACAAGAAATCCAATTGAAAAAACGAGCCCAAATTACAAAAACTTATAAAGAATTTGTTTTCCAACACAAAACATGCAAACTGCACTTATCCAAATGCTGCACAAATACCATGACCATTCCAAAAGCACACACAGAAAAGGGTTATCGATAACATAAACAGCATTAACAATTAACCATAAAGCAAAATCATAATTGAAATTCGAACAAAATTAAACATCCCGAGTGTATTTGTAGGGCACATAACAAATGGACATTTACTAGGAACTAGAATAGAATTAAAATAAAATTCTCTTAAGACATGTTTGGTAGTTGTTACAACAATATTTTCTACTTTTTTTTCTTATTTACCAAACATGATGTTAATACCTAAGTTCCTTTTAAGAGAGTACATAGTAATAGTAGTAACACTATACTACCACTTCTCAAGGTCTTGGTGGTGGGAAGAATTGCGTACCCGCCATGAAAGAGTTAAGAGGAGTAGGGTACATTGAAGGATCAAGCATTGTCACACCCTGGTGGCTAGTAGTGGCTGCTGCGGCGGTGATAAGATCAAGTGGCTGTTGGGATTCGCCACAGCCGGAGGAGCTCTCCCCCGGATAGCGGCTTTCAGCGCCCTGATCGTAGAGAATTCCTTTGAAAACATGGCCTCCAATATTGACAGCCGTCTGGTAGGCATACTGCTCCTCAGCATCATCCATTGCACTCACTCTTACGCAGCGAAAAACAGCGGAAGAATTCACTTCTGCTGGAAAGTTCCCCAACTCAAACCCTAATCAAGAACCAATAAAACAAAAACAAACCATATGGATTCATGTGTTTGTCTCCTAAAAGGAAAACAAAAAATCTTGAAGAAGAAAGTATTTTCACAAATTCTTGCGTCAGTTTTACTCTTTAACAGTAGAAGAAAGAAAAGGCAGGTAGTTGGTGGTGTGGCCATATAGAAATTAGACTTCTTTCATCTCACGCAAATGATGTGTGTATGTATGGATCATATGCTTCATTTGTTCTTTCAACTATTTATCTATTTGAGAATTCGAAGTTGAAAACAAGAAACCCATCAAATCGATGTTGTTCATTTTTCAAATCCCATTTTGTTTGTATTGAAAACTACAACATTACCTGACGTGTTGGTGGGTAAACGAGTAGTAGTGCAGGCAAGAGAAGAAGAACCACCACCATCACCACCAGGAATCTCTCTTTGCCTCTTCGGAATTTCCCCTCTCAGTGTCAACTGGTTTTGATCTTGCACTTGTTGCTGTTGCTTCTCGCGCCTTTTAGAAGCCGGAACCCAGGTGCTCTTGACGTGGGTATGGCACTGAAATCCTCGGCTTTTGCAGCAAGTTCGGCATCTAATATGTGGGCAATCTTTCTTAGCTTGATTCCCACAATCTTGGCAATTCATGCCCTCACCCCCGCCTCTTCCTTGCCTCATCATGACCCTAAACCCTGCTGCTGCCCCTGCTGATCTATAACTATAGTTCGAAGAATCATCACCTGATATATTATTACTCCTACTACTGGGTCCAACCGAGAAATCCACATCCAGATGATTTTGTAGCTTTTGTTGATGCAACTGATAGTACTGTTGCCATATCTCAAAACCCTTGCTATAGATCTCTTCGTTCTTGAACAGAAAAAGGCTATTGTTATTATCTTGAATGTGTTCTTGTTCTTGATTCTTACCACCTAGTGAGAAAAACCCAGACATTTTCCACCCCTAGAAGCTATATCCAATTTCAATTTTAAGACAAAATCCATAGCCAAAAAGCCTCAGCCTAGCCAGTGTGCGTATGTATTAGATAGAGAGAGAGAGAGAGAGAGACAAAATTGCAATCTTGAATATACTACATACTACCTAGTATAGACGTATATGTGAATGTATTTGAGTGTGCGAGTGTTTTGTGCTGCTAACTCTGCTCACTGACACACTCTCACTGTGTGATTTTTTGGGGGTTTCGTTCTCTTTTATTAGCTGCTTTTCAGGACAAAATTTAGGAATTTTTTAGGACATGGAATGGAATGGAAAGATAAATTCGTTGGTTCTCACTCTCTCTCTTGAATTAAATTTCGTCTTTTTTTTTTCTTTGATGCATTAAAGTCACAGCCCTGCAAACGCCGCCATCAGCCACTGCAACTACCCCTCTGCAACCTCAATTTAAGACATCCCACAGATTATTTTCCCTCTGCACCCGCCCCTTCTCTCTCTCTTTCTCTCTCTTTCTGTGAGTGAGACTGGTTTTTAAGCACAAAATCAGAAAATCTTGCCAATTCTTCTACTTTTGTCTTGCAGTTTGCAATAAAAACCTCATCAAGAAAAGACTGAACCAGTCCTTGAGTAATGATCAACGGTCTACTTTCATCCACGTGGTAACTCATCAGCTTTTGCTTATTAGTCCTTGCACCAGAAAACGCGCTCTACTATTTTTTTTTATTTTTTTAATAATTCTATTTGTACACTCAAAAGTTTTATTCTCTCTCACATGTACGTGGGATCCGTATGAATAAAAATATTCCAAAATTTGGTCTCCACCCCTTAATAGTGAGTAGTTGGTAAAAGATTAAGCATAAAAATCGGTATACACAGCATGATCTTTTTTTTTCTTTTTTTCCTTGAGCAAGTTCGGATATTTAACTAAGGGGCTGTTTGGGCCCGATTTTTTCACCCAAAAAATTGATTTTTTAACCGTTATTTTACTATTTCAGTCGTCATATTTGACTTCTTCTCTCACAGCTGGAGCCCACTTTTTTCCTAATGGTCAAAAAATCAATTTTCAAAATCACTCCCAAACAGACTCTAAATATTCAATTAATTTTGCAAAAGATTTATAGCAATTAACCAAGTGAGGAAAACTTTCAGTACCAATTATGATGGTTGTCATGAAATGTAAATGTCACGGTCCTTGAATTTAGTCACATAATTATTTTCCTCTCTCTTAGAAAAGTAATAAATATTATGAGATTTATTTAAATAAACGTGTCTACATCTTCAATTCATTTGACGAATAAATCCTTTTATTGAAAATTTTACATGTATATAATTATTACATATAATATTGTTCATAATGTGATGTGACAATCACTCGATTATTGATGTAAAAGTGTGAGATTTGAATGAAAGGTTGGATCCAGTGTCCTATATAATTATGGACAATATTATGTAGACAATTATGTATATGTAACATTTTCCTTATTTATTCTCGCAAATAAAATTAACCACAACGCACATCTTGAAGCACTCATTACATATTCATACGAGATCAAAGTATGCTCATCTTCAAGTACTCTTACTACTTGGGTTGGTTTTAATGGCTTACTTTTGGCTAAATTCCAGTACTTAAGTGTATGATTCTATCTAAATCTCTCTCTAATCATATTAATTTTGACATAGTATTTTCATTAAAATTTTCTTTTAAATATTTTGAGAGAATCAATGGTGCATGTATGTGTGAGAGGGCGGGGGGCGGGGGTCAACCCCTATGCCTATTGAACTTTACAAGTGATGTAATGTTTCCTTAATACGAAGAGTATGTATATTCAGCCACAAGAATCCGTACATACCATTTGATATATCAATGTCGGATTAATAATTCAAATGGTCATTGAACTTTTGCAAAATAATTTCAAAAATTTAAAAATCATTCAAGTAATCATTGAACTTTAAAAAAGTTTATATAGAATTACTGAACTTTAAAAATAATTTCATTCATCATTAAACTATACCAAAAAAAAAAAAATTAGCAAGGTGATTCCTTGGGAAATTTTTTACAAAATTCAATAATAACTTGTATAATTTTTAAAATTTAGTGATCTTGTTAAAAACATTTTGCAAATTTCAGTGAACATTTTGGTTATTAACTTTATTGATGTCGTAAACACTAGCTTGCCCCAAAAGGTATATTATATAGGTAAAAATTGCATTGCTGTATTCATGCAATAATATAATATTAATAACAAGTGAAATACTAGAGCTAATTATAATCAATATTAAAGGGGGTCCTCAATTGTTATTATTCTTCTAAATTTAGGTATCCTCAATTCGATTTTATTGGATTTTAAAGAAATTTATTAAAATATAGATCTACTCAATTGAAATCTTAATGAAATTCGATGAAATCCTTTAAAATTTAGATATTCTCAATAATTAGTGGATTTATAAATATTTTATTAATAGAGGAATTTTTCAAGATTTTGATGGATTTCAAGTTTTAAAATACGAATAACTAACATTTTGAAATTTCACCATATTTGATGAGATTATTATGAAATTTGTGGAAATCTATTCAAATTCATGAAATTTATTAGAATTTATAGTCTTTTAAAATTTATCAAAATCTTAATTGAAAACACTCCCATTTATCTTAATCAAACCGTTCTTGAGTGCAAGAAAGAGCTTTCATGTTTTGAACATCTTAGGAGTCATAACAAAATCTTCAATATTTATTTCAATTAGGCAACTCTTGGTTGGGGATGCTGAAGCAACGACAATGCGGGATGGATTGACTTTGGCTAGGGATCATGGCCCCAGATTGCTGTAACCGAGTGCAATTCATTGAGAGCTTTGAACAACCTCAAAAGTGTGCTCCTAAAGTTCCAATTATATTTCTATGTTACGTGTTATAGATCGTGACTCTCACAACTTTATTTCTGACCAGAAAAATAAAGCTGTTCACAATCATGCTGTTTTGATTCAATAACATCGATTTTGGGTGTTTAAAAAAAATGAAAAAATGAAAAAAAGATGATAATAATTATAATTTGATGATTTTTAAAGTAGTTAACTGATTGTTTTTAAAATTCAAATCATCACATTCACGGGAATGAATTAAATTGATGAAGTACAAATACAACCGGAGATTAGGCTTCACCTCCAACTCATCCATTGACAATTTTCTTCACTTATTCGTAGGAACCACGTGCCTTGTTTTGTTGTGGCTGACAGACTTGATAGAAATTCAAGCAATTATGATTCTACTTTTTATTCATAAAACTCAAATCAAATTGAATATCTTGATGAGATCAACTTTTTTTGTATTTTGATTTATACTTTTCAATTGGTATTTACTGCGATAAATTAATTAATCTGAACATTCAACAATAATTGTATAGCAATATGTTTTATAATTTACTCTTGTCATAATATTGACCCCCGCCCCCCCGCCCCCCAAACAATTTGATTTTTCTTCAAAGCACTATTTGATCTGACTGATTTATTTTGTTTCCCCAAACAATGCGTTTGTTGTTGGTATAAATTGCTACACTTATTTACTTGTTTAATCGTGTTGTCATATCGTATCTTTATTCTCTTTCATATCGTACCTCTATCTTCTTTCCTTTAGTTACATTCAATCTCAATGCAGCATTTAACTTCAGCTGTTTCATAGCTTTTTGACAAAGTAAAAATTCTAGCACTAGCCTTCAGATGAATCTTTCGAAAACGTATTCTAATGGACAAGGTGGAAAATATAGGCGAATTTAATTTTATTTAAGAACCCAACTTTCGGACCAAAACGATTACTTTGTCCTTATCAAAAGAGAACTTCTTGACTTGGCTATGCCATCTTTCAAAATTTTATATTTTCATCACGTTATCAAGTAAACGGTTAAGAAAAGGAGGGGAATTGGATGGAAAACAAGGGCCCAAAAAAATGCAAAAAAGAGAGGGACACTACTAGGGAATTGGCATGGAGAGGAAGGGTAAGGATAGAGATGTCAATTGGGCCGAGCCGGCGAGCCGCTCCTGGAAAAGAGGCTCGCGGGCGGCTCAAGCTCGTGAAATCACGAGCCGAGCGGGCCTCGCCCGGAGGTGAGCCGCTCGTGGGCTGGTCTCGTGGTTCATTGTGACCGTTTTGGTCACTTTTCAGTAACTGTTTGGTCACTGAACTTTTTTTTCTCCCCCCCCCCCCCCCAATTTTTTTTACTATAAATACCCCCTTCCCTCAAAAAAATTTCTTCATATCAATTGCTCTTCCAAAATTACAACTCTCTAACTCTCTTTTATTATATCAATTATCGAGTTTTTACTCTCTTGTGCTGCAAAATATACAATATCAATTCAATTTTTTCAGTTTATTAGTTACAATTTCAATTCATCCAATTCTCAATTCTCACAATCTCACTACATTTATATTCATCAAGTCAAGATTTCATCATAAACAATCACAGAAATGGATCAACGTTCATTTGTTGAGAGCTTGTTTGATACAGGATTTGAGCCATTGTCACATCATGGAGAATCGCCTAGGACGCCGCAAAGTCAATTTCCAAAAGAATTTGTCGATCTAAATGACATACCGATACCTGAAGATATTTACATTCACGGTCAGGGAAGCCACACTTCAATTGATTTGGATGATATTAACGTTTCTGAAGCGGAACATGAAGATGAAAATCAGCAATTAAATATCCCAGATACAAGGAGAAAGCGAAAGGCCAAAAAACAAGCAAAATGTTGGGATCAATTTAAGTTGATTTCAACGAGAAAAGTCGTTGATAGCCTTGCAGAATCTAAAGCAGTATGTAAATACTGCCAATAAAGATTGTCATGGCAAAAAGGAATTGGTACTACTCATCTCAACCGCCACTACAAATCATGTGCAGCCAGATATGAACTTCTTCCAACTAGTCAAACATAATTACAATTTGACAGTCCAGGCGCTGGTTCTACAACTTCACCCCTATCCACGTGGGTGTATTCGGAGGACGAGACTCGAACCGGAATGGTGAAATTTGTTGCCGCCACTGAGTTATCTCTGGCTATTGCAGATAACCGACACTTCGTCTCGTTCGTGAAAAAATATCTACAACCGAGGTACGTTGGGGTAAGTCAAAACACTTCGTGCCGATACAATAAATAATTTCAATAATTCAAAACAACAATTAATTATGGATTTGCAACAATATGGGGGTGTTATATCCTTAACTTCTTATATATGGGAAGTGGTTAATAAAAAAGCATATATAGCTGCAACCGCACACTATATAGACCCACTTCGGTGCATGCATAAGAAAATTATTGCTTTTAAAATTATTGAATTTCCTCACAATGCTAATAATATATATAATGCTATTATCAGTATTGTTAGAGAATATCATTGTGAGAGTAAAATTCGATCTTTTACTTTTGATAATGCTAGCGTTAATAAGGTAGTCGTCGATAAATTATGTAGGACACTTCAACCTGATTTTGGTGGGTATTTGTTTCATATTCGTTGTGTGTGTCATATCTTAAATTTAATTGTGTAAGATGGTTTAAAACATATAAAGGATGAACTTCAAAAGATTAGGAATGCATT